GAGGCCAGTTTGTACATTTTGGAACCATAAACAACATGCATTCAAGAAGAAATAAAACTGTCTAAATATACATTCCACTATAGCAGGTGTCTACAAAAGAATGCTGTTGTGGAGGTGAGATTTTATTTGTGTATTTATTAAGGACCAGGAAGAAAAGCATGAAGCTTTCGGGTGACTAAAATCTTGTAAAAACTCTAGTAAAAACAACAAACCAAATAATAAGATAAATTTTAAATGCTATTTTAAAAGACTATTAGAATAATCAGAAAACTCAAGATTTAAATAGAATCAAAGATTTGAATAAAAAACTAATTTTAATTTTAAATAGAAAAAATTTAAAGCGAGTATAAAAGATATTTATTTGAAATATGAAGTGACAGAGGGATAAACACAGAACTTCCATCCACTGGGTCACTCTCCACATGCCTGCAAGAGCTGGGACTGGGCCAGGCAGGAGCCAGGAGCCAGAATCTCCATCGAGGTCTTCCTGCATGGGTGGCAGGAACCCAAAGACCAGGGCCAGTGTCTGCCTCTGCTTTCCGGATGCATTAGCAGGAAGCTAGAATGGAAATGGAGTGGAGGTTGGAACTGGCGCTCTGATACTAGATGTTGACGTCACAGTTGGCAGCTTTGACCACTGCATCATAGCATCTACTCCATAAGTGCATACTTTGAAAGCATAGAATTTTGAGTTAAATTTTGAAAACAGTCATTCAGCTCAGTGGGAAGAAAACCTGCCATTAATGCTTTAGTTGACAGTATGATAGATTAGAAAGATTACAGAGTGGGGGGCCGGCGCCGCGGCTCACTAGGCTAATCCTCCGCCTAGCGGTGCCGGCACACCGGGTTCTAGTCCCGGTCGGGGCGCCGGATTCTGTCCCGGTTGCCCCTCTTCCAGGCCAGCCCTCTGCTGTGGCCAGGGAGTGCAGTGGAGGATGGCCCAGGTGCTTGGGCCCTGCACCCCATGGGAGACCAGGAAAAGCACCTGGCTCCTGGCTCCTGCCATCGGATCAGCGCGGTGCGCCAGCCGCAGCGCACCGGCCGCGGCGGCCATTGGAGGGTGAACCAACGGCAAAGGAAGACCTTTCTCTCTGTCTCTCTCTCTCACTGTCCACTCTGCCTGTCAAAAAAAAAAAAAAAAGAAAGATTACAGAGTGGGGCTGTACTCATTGACTAATATGTTGAACAAATTATTTGATCTGACATTTTCTTCATCTGTAAAACCTAAGGCTTTTTTGGGTTGTGCCAAGGATTAAATTGGGTTATGGATATAAGTGCCTGACTTGAGTTAGTTACCTAAATATCTTGGGAAGGACAGCAAGTGATAAGAGCTATAGACCAGATATTAAGTGTGATCAGATTATACCTTTTTTTTTTTTTTTTTTTTTTTTGGACAGGCATTGTGGACAGTGAGAGAGACAGAGAAAGGTCTTCCTTTTCCATTGGTTCATCTCCCAATGGCCACTGTGGCCGGTGCACCGCGCTGATCTGAAGCCAGGAGCCAGGTGCTTCTCCTGGTCTCCCATGCAGGTGCAGAGCCCAAGGACTTGGGCCATCCTCCACTGCACTCCCTGGCCACAGCAGAGAGCTGGCCTGGAAGAGGGGCAACCGGGACAGAATCCGGCGCCCCGACCGGGACTAGAACCGGGTGTGCCGGCACCGCAGGCGGAGGATTAGCCTATTGAGCCGTGGTGCCGGCAGATTATTTCTTTATAGTAGAATTTCTTTAAATTGGATATTGATCAGACTGTTACTAGTGGTTTCAATTTTTGTTCTAAAGAGATTTACATTTCTTTGATACTAAATGATCTCTTAGATTCCTTTTATTTTTAAAGATTTATTTATTATTTGAAAGGCAGAGACAGAGAGAGAGAGAAGTCTTCCATCCACTGGTTCACTCTCCAGATGGCCACAATGGCTGGAGCTGGGCTGATCCAAAGCCAGGAGCTTCTTCTGGGTCTCACATGGGTGCAGGGACCCAAGGACTTGGAGCCATCTTCTACTGCTTTCCCAGGCCATGGCAGAGAGTTGGATTGGCAGTGGAGCAGTCAGGACTTGAACTGGCGCCCATGTGGGATGCTGGCACTGTAGGTGGCAGCTTTACCTGCTAATACCACAGCACCAGCCCCTTAGATTCCTTTGAATTTCATTAAGATTTTCATGGCGGCCTCCGGTGCTTACCACAGGCTGTGTTCTTACACTGACTGTATAGAAAGAGGAGGCAGAGCAGGCCTTCCCCATGTACACCTCAGCTCAGGCCTCATCATGCCTGGGCTGTATTGTGAATGGGGGGACAAGGAGTTGAGGGAAAAAAAGAAAAAGACTTCTATGACTAAATCCTCAGTATTCCTGACCATCCACTTTTTAATCTAACGAATTTTTTTTTTTTTATTTCTACCTTGTCCCCTGTTGTCAGTATACTTCTCTGCATGTCTGTATTTTGGAAGATTCAGTTCAGTCTTTTTTTCTAGAAGATTGTTTAAAGTCTGAGTTCTGAAATAGCACCGAGTTTGAATCTTAGGTTCACCAGTAACGACTTTGGGAAATTATTGGATCTCTCTGAATCTTAGTATTCATGTTTGTTCCTATCTGTCTGTGTTATGGTGAGGGCGAAAACTTGTAAAACTCTTGGCTTGGTACTTTGTACCTAAGTTCATAGTAAACCTTAATATTTTAATAATATAGGTGATTTTTAACCCTTAATCTGAAACTCTCTTCTGTCTTCTAAACTGCATTCTCATCACTAGCTGCCTATTAGGTGTTTTCTTTTATACTTTCCTACATTACTTTTTTTTTTTTTTTTTAATTAAAGATCTGTTTATTTGAGAGACAGGGTAACAGAGAGGGAGATCTTCCATCTACTGGCTCACTCCCCCAATGGCTACAATGGCTGGAGCTAAGTCGATCCTAAGGCAGGAGCCAGAAGTTTCTTTCCAGGTCTCCCACGTGGGTGCAGGGGCCCAAGCACTTGGGCCATCTTCCACTGCTTTCCCAGGCCATTAGCATGGAGCTTGATTGGAAGTGGAGTAGCTGGATTCCAGCTGGCACCCAATGGGATGCCAGCACCACAGGCAGAGGCTTAACCTACTATGCCGCAGTGCCGACCCCCCCATGTTATCTTTTTTTTTTTGAAGATTTATTTATTTGAAAGAGTTACAGAGAGACATAGAGTTCTTCCATCCGCTGGTTCACTCCCCAAATGGCTGCAACAGCTGGAGCTTAGCCGATTTGAAAGGCAGAGGCACAGAGAGAGAGAGGGAGGTCTTTCATCCGCTGGTTTACTCCCCAAGTGGCTGCAACAGCCGGAGCTGAGCCAATCGGGAGTCAGGAGCTTCCTACACGTTTCCCACAGCCAAAAGACTTGGCCATATTCCCCCGCTTTCCCAGGCCATAGCGGAGAGCTGAACTGGAAGAGGAGCAGCCAGGGCTCAGATGCTGGCGCTGCAGGCAGTGGCTTTACCCACTACCCCGCAGTGTTGGCCTCCCATTGTCCTTTTAAAATTGAGTACCTGTCAGTGTTTACATGGGGGCACAAAGTTGGAATTTGGTAAGTGGCTGATACAAGATATATAGTCTAGCTGCCAAAGAGTTTATAAATCAAGTAGAGATGATAATATCTGAAACATTTTAAAAATAAATCTATAAATGCCGTTATATGGTGACTTGTCAGGTAATGATAAGGGGACATTGAATGGAGAACAAATTTTTTTTTTGAGAGGGAGAAAAAGATTGCGACTGGCCCCAGTCCCACACTGACTAACTCCCCAAATGTATGGAATGGTGAGGGCTGGGCGTGGCAGAGCGTGGGAGCTGGGAACTCAGTCCAGGTCTCCCAGGTAGATGACAGGGACAGGGCCTAATTACTTCAGCATCTGCTGCTGCCTCCCAGGGTTTAAATTAGTAGATAAGGTGGAATCAAGTGCTGGGCAGGAACTCAAACCCAGGCATGCTAGTATGGAATATAGATGTCTTAATCATGGGGCCAAATGCCTGCCCTGAGAAAACTTTTTGGAAGTGATGGGCTTGAGGGAAACCTTGCATGTGTGCTTCTAGAAACTGTCTGGACTCCTCACATACAAAACTGCCATCTGACACTCTGTCCCCTCAGAAGCACACTATCTATTGCTGTGGCATTAAAAGAGAATGGATCCCGCCTGTTCATAATGCAAGCCGTGGAAAGGCCATTTTAAGTGTGGATGCACGTTTATTGCCCTTTCCTAGCTGTACTGTTTCAGTTCATGGTTTATAGCTGTCTGCAGTTATGTGAGGTCCTCGAGGGGATGGACCTTTTGCTTGGGCTTTCCTCCTTTGCCTACTTTGTACACAGGAGGCACTTCATGGGTGCTTGTCAAAGAAATGAGTGTAAGTGTCTTATGGATAGGGATGTGTCACATTATGTTTCCTCATGTGCACTGAAACTGAGTGTTTCTTGAGATTTGTCCTTGGAATATTCATTGTCTTAACTGATGCTGTTGCTACAGTTTAGCTCACCATGCAACAGGTGCTTGGGTTTCACCTTTTTTTGGTCCCTTCACATTATGTTAATGACCTACCTCCCTGTTAGTACTTGAAGACCAGATCTAATACAGATATTGATTTTCAGACTCAGTTGGAGAGTGGTAATAACTTTTGTGAAGACACCCATGCATAATTTCTCTTGTGAATGGTGTTTAAATGAATTTTTCTGCTTCAAGTTATTAATTTGCCCCTTAACAGAAATCTGAGCTCCTTGTTGAAGATCTTTACCTTCCTCACTGCAGGCCATTTTATTTATTTTTTATTTTTTTTAAGTTTATTGAAAAATGCAATAGAAGAAGCAAGACCAAATACATATCTAAACACTACAATCATTTCTCTTACTACAAAAGGCTCCAGGCCATTTTAATCAATGTCTTCTCAGAATTTACCTTCTCTCCCTATTTATCATTAAGTTAAAAGAGAAAGTGTGGTGTGACATTTTGGGATACACTGCCATATCCTATTTCCTTCTTTGTGAGCAGGATTTCCAATTTCCAAGCCTGTGGGATCTCCCAGCTGGAACAAGATCTACAGGTCTTTGATCTGGAAACTAAGAATAGAGAAGTCTTAAGAGAGGACTACTCAGGTGAGAGTAAGGCAGAATCAATCAGATGAAATTAGTCGGCAAGTGAAGTCCAATTGTTGAACCAAGCTGTGTCTGCTTTGGCACTCAGGGTGAAGAGCTCTGCCTGTACCAGAATGGAGAGCTCCTGCGTTGTCCCTGCAGTTTAGGTTGACCCTTTTCCATTTACTTAGCTCCTTATGCACAAGTTGTTCTAGGTCCCTGTTGAAACTGCTGAAATAAAATTCTTTTGAACTATTTCTCTTTTGAAGCACCTTGACTGGTTATCTTATACCGCTGACCATGCCCTGTTTCTGCCACACTCTGAATCATTTCCTACCTCACTGCTCCTGTTCATGCCTTTCCATTGGCTGTTGAGATTTTGCGCCTGTTTTTTTTTTTTTTTTTTCCAGAGTATTTAAACTTCTTTTAGCCTTGTTGATGCTGCATTATTTAGATTTTTCCTTTCGGGTTTACTTTTTCTAAGCACAGGGTACAGATTACATTTGCATTTTCTATTTATATATTGTATCAGATGGAGAGACCACAGAAGAAAACAAGCTGTTGATTCCTAAGCAGAACATTTCGGAAGAAGTACATTCATACAAAACAAGAGTAGGAAGACTCAAACAGGATATTGCCCACGTGCCTGAGACTAGAGAAGTGTATAAGTCTGAGGACAGATTAGAAAGGCTTCAAGAAATCCTAAGGAAATTTCTCTTCCTGGAGAAAGAATTTAGGCAAATAACAATCAGCAAGAAAACCCTCACCAGTGAGAAGAACAATGAATGTAATGACCCAGAAAAAAGCTTCAGTCTGGACTCCACCCTTGATACAGATCAGAGAGTTCTTAGAATACAAAATGTTGATGACAATAAATACGACACAGACTTCAACCAGAACTCAACTGCTGATAAACATGAACATGTAAGTCAAGCACAGAGTTTTCATAGTGACTATAAAGAAAGCTTAATGGACATTTCCCACTTTAGTAAGTGGGAGAACATTCCTACTACTGAGAAATCCTATAAATGTGATGAATGTGGGAAAACCTTCCATCAGAGCTCAGCCCTTACTCGACATCAGAGAATCCATACTAGAGAGAAACCCTACAAGTGTAAAGAATGTGAAAAATCTTTTAGTCAGAGCTCAAGTCTTAGTCGACATAAAAGAATACACGCTAGAGAAAAACCCTATAAATGTGAAGTATCTGATAAATCCTGTGAAGTGTCAGATAAATCTTGTAGGCAGAGCTCTGATATCACTCAGCATAAGAAAAGTCACTCCAGAGCCAAATCTTACAAATGTAACAGCTGTGAAAGAGTCTTTAGTCGTAGTGTACACCTTACTCAACATCAGAGAATTCACAGAGAGATGCCCTGTAAATGTACAGTGTGTGGCAGTGACTTCTGTCATACTTCATACCTAATAGAACATCAGAGAATCCATCATCAAGAAAAATCCTATGAGTATAATGAAAGTGAGTTAGCCTATGCTAAACATCAAGGAATTCATTTCAGAGAAAAGCCGTATACATGCAATGAGTGTGGAAAAGACTTCAGATTGAATTCACATCTTATTCAGCATCAAAGAATTCATGCAAGAGAAAAGCCACATGAATGTAATGAGTGTGGAAAAGCTTTCAGTCAAACCTCATGCCTTATTGAGCATCACAAGACACATAGGAAGGAGAAGTCATATGAATGTAATGATTATGAGGAAAGTCTTAGTTACAGTTCAGATCTTACCCTGCAACAAGAAGTCCTTACCAGAGAAAAAACCTTTGATTGTGATGCCTGGGAAGAGAACATCAGTCAGAGATCACACCTGGTTCAACATCAAAGAATCCATACCAAAGAGAAACCTTATGAATGTAATGAACGTGGGAAGACATTTACTCAAGTTCAGACCCCTTTCAACATCTGAGAGTTCACTCCTGGGAGAAATCATGTGTGTACTGAATGTGGTGAATCCCCTCACTCATAGCTCAGCCCTTATTCCACATCAGAGAGTTCACACCAGAGAGAAACCTGATTGCGATGACTGTACGAAAGCTTTTGCTGTTAAACTCTTCATTGCCTCCTGCAAGTTCATACAAGCAAGAAAATGTATGAATTTATTGAGTGTGGTGAATTCTTCCTGCTATTTTCATATCTTGGTCACAGTTGGAGAATTCACTGTGGAGTGGTTTCATTACTGAGTGTGAAAAAGTCATCATTCAAACTCTTGTTCAGTATCAAATTCATGCCAGCAGAAATGTTGTGAATGTAATAAATATGTGTGCGTGTGAAGAGATTCTGTCATAACCCAACAGTGATTCAGCATCAATCTGTGCCCAAGAAAAGTCATTTAAATACAGTAAATGTGGTCAGTCTGTCAGGACTTTATCAAGTCTTTCTTAGAATGTCTGTACCAGATGAGAATCTGATACAATGCAAATGAAAAATTGTCACTGTATCTTGGGCTTTACCTACCATTTAAATATTGGAGAGAAAATTCTTGATTATTTTTATGTGAAATTATTAGGGTTTAATTCCAATATTTTTCATTGCAGAAGAATTTAGTTAGAGGGGTGACTTGGTGAATGAAACTCAGTTTTCTCATGGCATTTTATTTAATATAAAGATATTCTAAGTGGTTATGTATATTTTATTTATAGAATTCATTTACTGAGCTCATTTTTGAGCTATTTTTATTTTAATATGACCTATAAACATTTTATTTTTCCTGAAATTGCTTCTTACTCAAACTTTCCTTAAGATATTGTTAATGCATCGATGTTAAAAACATGTCAACTTCTGGAAAGTAGATCAGTTAGCATTCTCTGCTCTTAGCCCAAGTTCTCTCCAAAACAGACATTTAGGCCTGCTCTTAAGCCACAATACTTGGATTCCTGTTGATTTTTTCATTCTTGTAAGCATCTTCAAATGATGATTTCCTCCTGGTTTTAAGCTTTTCACCAGCAGATTTTCTGTCCCTACTTGATGTTGCTGGTCTGGTGTTTTCTTTCCTAAAGCAAAGCATCTTTTTAAAGGAATTGAATTTGCACGTCCAGACCATCCTTATGTATGAAGGATTCTGTTTCCTTGAGTTTGTGGCTGACTAAACATTTCAACTGAATAAGGGTATCTATGAGCCAACAAGACTCCTTGGGGCCTGTCTATATTCATTCAGTGCCTATTCTGCATGTCTAAGTTTAGAATTCTTAATGTGCTTCTATTGAAGGCCAGCAGAATGCTCAGGTCTGCTGTTGATAGGGCAAAGAACATAAATGAGAAAAAACCAGAGTGTTTCGTAAGGGAATGCAGCCTTCCAACAAACATGTTGCTATCATGTAATAGCTCTAGAGACAATATTTCAAGAGAGTGGTTTGGATCCTTTCTCTGATTTCCCTTCATCAATCCAGGACAGTGTTTGAAATGTGGGCTTTGTGTATAATCATCATTTTTGTATTTTAATAGAATCTATAGTCCGTATAAAAGAACATGACTTTTTTGAGCGATAAAAGTGGTCACAGATGTTGTTAGCTCCAGAGAGTTTAGATCACTTTTGTATACCTAAAAAGAGTTCATGATTCTTTAGGTGTTGTCAAAGCATTTTATTATATTCATATTTTTCCATCTTAAGCTTCATAGCATTTTGTGAATAAAACAAGTGTTACTAAAATTCTAGTTGTCCAGCAGTTGAGGCTTTCATAGTTCAGGTGTTAATATTTACTAGGAATCCTCAGCAAATATATAAAAACTTACTGCTCATACTGTGAGCCTCTTATGGCTAACCTAGTATAGTTCTGCCACTGTATTTTACTCTGCTCCTATCCTAAGCACAGGATCTTAATCAGGGCAAGATAGGGATCTAAATGAAATTGACCTTGAAATAAAAACAAATGAAAAATGCATGACTTTTTTTCTGTCAAACATGTATACCTTATAGACACCACCAATCACCTCTGATGACTATGAAACAGGATTGATTAATCCACAAATAGAACATGTAAAAATCATATGTATGCTTTTTGCTTAGGAATGTTCTTTTGTACTTCCACTTGAATAAAGGTGTACTTGAATTTTCTGACAATCTGTTTCAAAGAAAATCTGAAGGCCTCAGCTAGAAGCATTTGGGAATCTTGGAATCACCTTCCTGACTGCAACTCAGATCCTCTGAAACTTGATTCACAGTAAGAGTTAATCATCCTAATTGTATTGATACCAAGCTTTCTTTTCTACAGACCTCTGGAATAAAAACTGATCGTATTTAAAGGGTTATTTAGTTGGGATGTTGTCAGTACATAAGAGTAAATCCTTCAAGGTTTCAGTAGAAGTAGGCAGAATATAAAACACATTTTTAAAAGTGAGAAACCAAAATAATGCAACTTACCTGTTTAAGCAGATGTTTAATTGGTTCAATGGAATTTATGCCCTTACTCTTTTTTTTTTTTTTTTTTTAAGGATTTATTTATTTGAAAAGTAGAATTACAGAGAGAGGAAGAGAATCTTCCATCCACTGGTTCACTCCCCAAATGGCTACAACATTCCAGGGCTGGGCCAGGCTGAAGCCAGGAGCCAAGAGCTTCTGGGTCTCCCATGTGGGTGCTGGGGCCCCAAGCACTTGGGCGATCCTCCACTGCTTTTCAAGGTGCATTAGCAGGGAGCTGGATCAGAAGTAGAGCAGTGGGGACTTGAACCAATGTCCATATGGGATGCCAGCATTGCAGGCATCTGCTTTACCTGCTACACCAAAATGCCTTTTTGGTCTTGAAAGGGGAGGGAAGAGAAGAAATCTAATAGGGGGATACTATTTTTTAAAAAATTTATTTATTTGAAAGGCAGAGTTACAGAGGGAGAGAGACGTCTTCCATCTACTGGTTCACGCCCCAGATAGCTACAGTGACTGGAGCTGCACTGATAAGAAGCCAGGAGCCTCCTCCGGGTCTCCCATGCAGGTGCAAGGACCCAAGGACTTGGACCATCTTCTGCTTTCCCAGGCCATAGCAGAGAGCTGGATCAGAAGAGGAGCAGCCGGGACACGAACTGGTGCTCATATGGGATGCCGGTGCTGCAGGCCACGGCTTTAGCCCACTATGCCACAGTGCTGGCCCTGGGACACCAAATTTTTTTTTTTTTTTTGACAGAGTGGACAGTGAGAGAGAGAGAGAGAAAGGTCTTCCTTTACTGTTGGTTCACCCTCCAATGGCCGCCGCGGCCGGCGCTCCCATGGGGTGCTGGGCCCAAGCACTTGGGCCATCCTCCACTGCACTCCCAGGCCACAGCAGAGAGCTGGCCTGGAAGAGGGGCAACTGGGACAGAATCCGGTGCCCCGACTGGGACTAGAACCTGGTGTGCTGGCGCCGCAGGTGGAGGATTAGCATATTGAGCTGCAGCGCTGGCCTGGGACACCAATTTTATCTACTGTCTCTCCACCCACCTACAGGCACATGTATGTATGTATGTAGATATTTAAGCTCAGTTCTCACAATCTTTTAAGGGCACCAGCTCCATTTTGTAGAGGAAGTGAGGGGTAGAGAAGTTAAAGAACTTGTTAGCGTTAAAGAACTAGTAACTTGTCAAAGCAAATTAGCTCAAACTCAGTTCTGTTTGAGCCAAAGCTTCACAGCATCGTGATGGTACTCTATACATCTGAGAATCCAGAGCTTTCCTTTCATAGCTCTGTTCCTTATCACATCCCCAGTGTTTCACTGTTGCGTTTGCAGCTGATTCCAAAGGTTCCTGGAGCTCTCTGGGATACTAGCAGAGAATATGTTGAAGTTAATTTAAGGAGCTGGTCATACCCCTTCTTGAAATAACTTCATAGTAACAAGTCAAAACTCCCAAATTCACGTCTCCTGCCAAGACACCCTGCTCCCATCACTAGATTGACGCTTCCATTTCTTCGTGCCCCAGATGTGTTCTTATTTTGCTGCTAAGAACTTGGCTGATGACATGGATCTTCACCAAGATTTTTTTTTTCTTTACCAAGATTTATTATCACCTCTGGTTATAGTGTAAGAGGGTCTTCAAAAAGTCCATGAAAAAGTGTCTTATGAAAATATGCATGTATTTCAAACACTTTACAACAAAAAAGTTAACCTTTTAATTCCATGTTCATGAGCTTTTTGAAGAATTCTCACATAGGAAGTAGTGGAATCTCAGAAGGCATTCACGAGCAGACGTTTAGCAGTGCAGGACTAGCCTGGAGGAGGGACCCGGGATTTGAGAGCTTTCCTGTGGCTGGACACAATGGGAGGCGTCCTGGGCTGCGCGGGAGCTGCTCCTGGCAGCTGAAGTCCACAACCGGACGGCTGTCTCTTCTAGCATTCGCATCATAAGGCATCACCTCTTGCACTCGCATCAAAATACCGGTGTGTGGAGGAACTGATGTTCAATCCAGGACTGTAAGATGATTGCAGATAGTGCCCTGTACAAGTGAAAAATGCTGGACTTTTAACTATATTTTGCTAACATCTCCCATTGTCTTCACTTGTAAAAAATGGTTAGCCTTCTGTACTTCATTTATGTTTATAAATTTACAACTTGGGCATAACTGAAAGTGTCTTGTCTTTTTTTTCCTCTCATTTGCTCAAGTTACAAATCCCCGCACACACGCACTTCATCCTGCACGGGTAGTTTGAGGCCCGGCCGTGGTTTGAGCAGGCCAGGCTTCAGATGCCGCCTCCTGGCCTGCACGTGCAGCTGCTGGCTCCTGAGCTGGCAGGAAATAGGCTTGCGAGGATCCCTGAGAGAATGTTGGTTTAAGGGCTCTGTTCTCTTCAGTTTCACAGCAAACCCCTAATACCCGTCCTCCCCGCATCACAGGGGCCTGTGGCGGATCTGCTGGCCTGACAGGCGTGTGGATCTTCGCCCCCTCTCCAGCGCCCCGCAGAGGCTGGTCTTCATGTCCACGCTGCGGGCCCTGCAGGGTCAGCCCGGCCTGCGGCCGCTAAGGAAAGCAGGGCTGGGCGGGAGTCACGGGGAGGGCGCCCGGGGCTCCCGGACGGTGGGACGGGGAAGTGGGAGCAGTCCCTCCGGCAAGGCCGTGCACACCCGCCCGGCTGTGGACTTGTGGACTGCGCTCCTCCGTGGCCCTCGGGAGCCTGCGATCGAGATGAGACCTCCAAGCCGCCTAGACGGGACCCGGAAGTGCACGCGGACCCCCGGGGATCCGCGCCTCTGCCGCGGAGACCGCGCCGTTCCTCGCCTCGGAGCGCCTGGGGCGCGGTGCCGGGGTGAGTGGGCGAGGGCGGCGGCTCAGCGGGAGGACGCGGAGGGCGTGGGCTGCTGGTGTGGGGCGGCGGGGGTGCGAGGCCCCCTGCGACTTGCGTCCCTGCGGCCAAGGGCGCGGGTCAGGGCGTCCACCTTTCCTGGCTGGAGGAAGAATGACGCTGGCCTCCCCGCGTCTGGGGGTGCCTTTTGGGGCGGCTTCACCCACCATCTCTCTAATGTCTGTCCTCTCTCCCCCCTTTCCCGAAGTGACTGCCAGTCCCTTGGGTCTCGGTCTGAAGGAGTTTAGGAGAAGATGTTGGTGTTGAGGCAGCACAAGCTGGAGTAGACCCGTGCCTGGAGGAGCTGCCCACGATGTCCCTGGAGTCCACGCGCCTCCAGAGCAGGAGCCTCGAAAGAGCAAGGCTGCGGAGCTGACCTAGCTGACTCACCCTCTGTCTTCCGAGTTTATTTGTTCTTTCAAAGCAGCGGTCCCAGACCCAGTGGGCAAGATTAAACTTGCACGTGGGGTCGTCCTGGAGCAAGACTGCTGGCTGTTTTGGTTTTCGTGTTTTTAAACCAGAAGTTCTGGCAGGCGAATAAAGCCTGTAGCTGGTGTTTCCTCCGTGTGGAGCCGTCCTGCGGCAACGCTGCAAAGCCCCCTCACTCCGGCTCCTGTTAATTTGCTTGGTCGTTTAGAGAAACACTGAAAGCTGTGTGAATAAACTAGTGAGCCCAGAAGTGTGTCCCATACTCCAAGAACCAGGAACAGAGGGGGGTCCACTCTGCAAACTCTCCATCACTAGGGAGATACACTTTTCTACCCAAGACAGACGTTCCACAGTACTTCCTTGTCTGTGGAATGCAGTAGACAGCTATGTGCTGGTGGAAAATGCGGTTAAACTGTTCATGTCATTTTTTATGTCAGTCCGCCATCATGTCATTACCCGGTATAAGGTCATTTTTAAAAATGGAGTTGAATTATTTAATTGTGAGACAAAGGTTTAGAAAATCCACCTCATGGACTTGGCAATGACTTGTTAAGGGGATTTTCTTTGACACATTTAGTTTCTAATTATGGTTTGGGCTTTTTTTTTTTTTTTTTTTTTTTTTTTAAGGGCGAGAGACAGAGCTCCCATCTGCTGGTTCACTCTTCAAATGCCTACACAAGCTGGAGTAGACCAGGGCTGAAGCTGGAAACCGGAAACTCAGTCTGGCAGCCATCACTGGTACTTCTCAGGATCTGCTGGAAGCTGGAGTCAGGACCCAGAGTCAGAAATCAAACCCACGGACTCCAGTGTGGGAGGCAGGCGTCTTAATGACTAGGCTAGTTGCTTGCTCCCCAGGTTACTGTTTAGCTCAGCGAGTATTCATTGGGAGATTATTATGAGGTGCAGAGACTAGATTGAGAGAAAGCCTAACTCTGATCCACCCACAAACGGTTAATTTGGCATTGTCAACAATGAAACTCTGTGAGACAGTAAGCAGCCTTGAAGTTTATAAGCGATCAGTGCGAATTGGATATTGGCCCAGGAAGCCTTAGAAGAGCAGGAGTTTGACCTTGAACAGAAAGTAATAAAGGAACCAGGTGTTACATGAGGGGAATGAAGCCTTGCCAGGTTCCTTCTAAGATTCCAAGTGCCCTTGTTAATCTGCCTACAAGACTTGCTTACTCAAAGTGCCCGCTGGCTTCACATACTCCACAAGCCACATTCATCTTGCCGCCTCATAAACACATCAAGACTGGTGTATGCACAGGGGCATGCTGGAGACGCCCTAGCCACCACTGTGCCTCTGTGTCCTTTCCCCGCTCGCATCATCGTCTGCTGTGTTCTTGGCAGTCCCAACCCCACACATCCCGAGGTTCACGTGGGATGTCAGCACCACGGGAAGTGGCCCCACTGCTGCACAGGGCGCGGTTCTCCGTGGAGCTTCTGAAGACGACTCAGGGCTGTGAGGGAGAGAACACACAGATGTGGGAGATGTGACTTGATGGCTCAACAGTAGGCGCGGTTGGCATGATCACCTGTGCTTCCGGTTCTCACCACTTGTGATGGTTTTCTCAGCTGCTGTTCAGTTCTCAGTGCAAGGCGCTGCTGCTCTTCCATCCAAGCCAGTTTTCCGAAAGTTAACTGGCTTCACTCTGAACGCATTTTTTTTTTTTTTTCCAGCCCTTACTCTCTGGACCCCTCAGTATTTTCTGTTTGTGAGCACTCCTTGGAATGCTCCTTAGTTTTGGAAGTGTCACTTTTTCCTGGTCTGTTTCTTGCGTTCTTAGAGCCTTTACCTGCTCCTGTTTCTCCAGCTGGTTCCTAACACTAATTTTCCCCAAGACCATTCTCCCTCATCTCTCTGGTTACTGTCATACGTTGCCTTGGCTGCCGGCTCACTCCTGAATACCAGATGTTCCTAGGCGTTCGTAGGTGCGTTTCTGAGCTCATCCTTTCTGACACCTGCCTGCCTTCCTGTGTCTGCCTTGGTTAACCGGAGTCCTTCCCTCCATGTTCAGTTGGTCACCAAATCCTATCAGTCCCTGCCCCCGTACCACCACCAGGGAAACCTGATTGTGTCATCTATCGCTGCCGCTTCTTTTTCCCCCTCTCTAGGCTGTCCTCCACACTGCTGTCAGAATGAACTGCTTTGGAATAAAATTGGTTGTATTATGCTTTGCATGCAGGGTGAAGTTGAAAATCCCAAGTGTGGCTTGTACGTGTCTATTGGGGTGGGCACTTATATGCCGCAGTGGTTAAGATGCTGCTTGGGATGCTGACCCCATATCAGAGCCTTGGTTTGAGTGCCAGCTCCGCTCCTGATTTCCGCTTCCTGCTGACGTGCGCCCTCAGAGGCAGCAGGTGATGGCTCAGGTACCCATGTGGGAGACCCAGATTGAATTATTGGCTCCTGGCTTCAGCCTGCCCATCCCTGGCTTTTTGTAGGCATTTGGGGAGTAACTTGTGGGTGGAAGATCTATATCTGTCTGCCTTTCAAATGAATAATAAAAGAAAAAAAAAACTCAGCAAAACTATTTAAAAAGTATTATCTGACTCTTCTGTTTCTCTGCTGTATATCCTATTGCCCACCCATAACATATACATTTTTTTAAAATTTATTTTATTTATTTGAAAGATAGAGTTACAGAGAGAAGTAGAGACAGAGAGAGAGAGAGGTTTTCCATCTGCTGGTTCATGCCCCAAATGACGGCCAAAGCTGAGCTGATCCAAAGTCAGGAGCTTCCTTCTGCGTCTCCAATGTGGGTACAGGGGCCCGAGGACTTGGGCCATCTTCCACTTGCTTTCCCAGGCCATAGCAGAGAGCTGGATCAGAAGTGGAGCAGCCGGGACTAGAACCGGTGCCCATATGGGATGCCAGCATTTCAGGAAGTGGCTTTACCCGCTACGTCACAGTGCCGGTCCCAGAGGGCTTTTTACAAATAGTCTCTTTGGGACCTCCGATGATTTATAACTTCTTTTAATGGGGTAGAACTTCCTTTTAGTGAATTGTTGGGAAATAACAGGGTGCGTTGTTAAGCAGCTAATGAGTGGGGTTGGAGGAAAAGAAATGGGAGACATCTGGAGATCGAGGCATTTAGAGAAGGGGTAAACAGAACGGGACCCACATAAAGACATATGTGTGGGGCCGGCGCCATGGCCTGGGATAGCAGTGGAGGATGGCCCAAGTGCTTGGGCGCCTGCACCCACATGGGAGACTAGGAAGAAGCACCTGGCTCTGGTTTCAAATCGGTGTAGCTCTGGCTGTAGTAGCCATTTGGGGTGTGAACCAACGGAAGGAAGACCTTTGTCTCTCTCTCTCTTACTGTCTGTAACTCTACCTGTCAAATAAAATCTTTCAAAAAAAAGAAGACATGTGTTTGCGTGCACACATGTACCCCTAAACATACATCAAGGGGCAATGGTGGCCGGCGCCGCGGCTCACTAGGCTAATCCTCCGCCTGCAGCACCGGCACCCCAGGTTCTAGTCCCGGTTGGGACGTCGGATTCTGTCCTGGTTGCTCCTCTTCCAGTCCAGCTCTCTGCTGTGGCCCGGGAAGGCAGTGGAGTATGGCCCAAGTCCTTGGGCCCTGCACCCCATGGGAGACCAGGAGGAAGCACCTTGCTCCTGGCTTCGGATCGGCGCAGCTCCGGCCGTAGCGGCCATTTGGGGGGTGAACCAATGGAAGGAAGACCTTTGTCTCTGTCTCTCTCACAGACAGTGTTGCTTAGCATGGCATGGGGTGAGGAAATGTCGGCACTCGAATCCCATTGAAACTGATCGGGATCAGACTCGAGGACATTAACAGCGTCAGCGGGAAGGCAGAGACAGGATCAGGATGTGCATTGTGGGTAG